ATAAAATTTTGAGTGTGTTTTGGATTACATGTGATCTAGGTTTAATTGCTCAAGCGATAGCTTCCACTCATCCTTCATGATTTCGAACCTTCGACTTACCAACCTACGATCATCAAATTTCAACAATGAACTATCCAACTAACCTCCTTTTATTGCTTCTTAAGCAATAATGCACTCAACTTAAATATTTGTAGATTTTCTAATGATGCTCTGCTTGGATTTCACTCCAACAAGTTCACAATGATATGTGAGACACTCTGTCTTTTGTGAACGTGGAAATTGACCTTAAATTTTTGCACATTACACATGGATGCAATTCCATGTTACCATTCTTAAGCCACGATGCCCTCAAGCTCGTGCTTGCATATGGTTTCCTTACAAAGGATCTAATCCATGCTAAGGTTGTACATATAACATCAATACTTAATTTTTATTTGTTTCCATGTATCAAGAACTCATCCTCAACTTATTCAAGTTATTTGGATGTTCTTGATTATAATCTAACGATCTTTCACTTAGATTAAATGTGATTGGTATATTATGCTTGTCATGCTCGAAACATACAAGCTGTGTGGCGATTCCATATCGTAGCATACATAATGGATTCAATTACAGAACCATTCCCAATTTAATCTTGTTCTTGTAACTTTTAGTTCATCCAGTTTCACAAGATACCGAGTCTTGCTAAACAGTTTCCATATAATATGGTTGAAAGTCTCGTCTAGAGTCTTTCATGTTTAACCTAGTATGTGCCTAGCTTTATACTTATTTCAAACACTCACTTAGATTCATACATATGGGTCTAAAGTCTTTCCAAACTCTTTCATGTTTAACATAGTAAATACCTTTACTTGTTCAAACATCTTACTAAGTCTATCTAATTCTTAATTCCCACTATGTATTAAGTATCGCCTTAACTTGGTCCATTATTGATAAATTCTTTCAAATATAAGCATTTAGCATTTGAATGTCATTTTACAATAGAGTTCGTAAACTTCATATTGGACCTAATAAAATTGACTTTTGCTCCCACTAAACTTCTTATCTAAAAGAATTTTCATATTTCTCAAGAAGCTAAAATTCTTATTAACGTCATGAGAGAACTTATTCCAATTTCTACACGCTTGCCTCAATCCACCAATGGATTTCTTGAGCCCGCTTTCGTATCTAGCACTCTATAGATCAACAAAACCCTCAGGCTATGTCCACAGTCTCTTCCAAAATCTTCTTTATGAAGGCAGTTTGATATCTATTTTGCCATATTTCATATGTGCAATGAATGCAAGAATAACACGAAAAAGACTTAAGCATTCCGATTAGTGAATAGGTTTTATTAAAATCAACACCATGAATTCAATTGTAACTTTTTCAACCAATCTAGCTATGTATGAATTACATTTTCATATTTGTTAGTTTTCTCCTTGAAAACATATTTGCAATTGATGGGTTTTTACCCTTCATGCAAATCAATCAAGTTCTAAATCTTATTTTCAAACATGGAGTCTATTTTAGATTTCATGGCCTCTTACAATTTTTGGAATTTGGATTTGTCATAGCTATCTTACAAGTCACCATTCTTTAACTATCCAACATTAATAATGTGCTTGTAAATCGTAGGTTTATTTCTAACTGAATAGAAATTTATAGGATTCAATCTAAGCTTTTGGTGAATTTTATACCTATATGGGGTAATAACATCAAACACTGAATTTCAAGACTCTTCTAAAGCCCTTTGATTATTTTGATCTTACTCCAAAACTTCTAAAGTTTTGTGAGTAATGATTTCTCTTAAGGCACTTCACTTTTAAAGTCCTTCGAATATTCTTGATCAATTATTCTCACGAAGCCCTTCTAAAGTCTTCTGAGTTTTAGTATTTGTTTGTTCCTCGTCTCGATTTTATCGAGCTTAATTTTCTCCCACTTGTCGTTTTGGAAATATTTTTCTTTTCTAAAAAGACACCATCTCGAGCAACAAGTATTGTGTTCTCAAATTGATTGTAGAAGTAATACCCCTTTGTCTCACTTGAATGCTTACAAAGAGACATGTATATTGAAGGTTCAATGGGCACTCAAGAGGGGGGGGTGAATTGAGTGTTAAGTAATCGTTAGCGATTTTTGCTTCTTTTCGGATTATGTGTAAGGAACCAGTTGTGCTGGTTCCCTTATGCAGCGGAATAAAACAAAGCAATAAAGAACACCACAGATTTAACGAGGTTCAGCCAACTCTGGCCTACGTCCTCCTATCCTAAGTCCTTTATTAATCTACTCCGAAAAATAAAGACAAAGAACACTCTACTGCTTCCCTACTCCGGGAACCAGTAAACCCCACACTCTACTCCGAATGTGCTCTAAACTTACCCTCGTAAGTTCCTAGTGTGTTTGAACTCACAAACACTCACCAAGTCTTCAACCCCTCTGTCAAAGACTTAATACAAGATCAAGAACTCTCTAATGATCTAACTCTCAAAAGTCAAATAGAGAAAAACGTTAAAACACTATTATGCTCTTGTGTATCACTTAATAATTGAATTAGTGCTTTTAGCTCTCAAAAATAAAACTCTATTAAAATGCGTGAGAGCCGTGTCTGATTATTCAGAATAAGATGTGTTTTATAGGTTAGTTAGCTAAACCCTAGTTACCTTAAATCATGCATATAAGATATATACGATTTATGGTAAGTATTTATCTTAATTGATTTGATCACAAGATAAAATCAATTTAAGATAAAATACTTCCTAGTTTTTAGCTAACCAAAAATATCATCTTATTCTTAGCTGCTTGGATATATTTTAAATCAATATTTTTCGGAAAATATCTTTTTATAAAATCTTTGGAAAAACGGCAGCTTGAATAATCTGTTCAGTTAACCTGGTTCCCTGGCCTGGTTCCCTGAACTGAATATGTTATGAAATTTGTTCCAAACCTTGTACCAAATTTCATAACGATATTTAATATACTAAAAGTACTTTATATACTCAATTATATAAGTTATACTACGGAGCATTTACATGAAGTTCCTAAATAACTCTTTGAGTGTAGTCTTCCTTCATGCATTCGTTAAGTCTTGAAAGCTTCCATGAATGAACTCAATTATTGACCAAAGGACCTTCCTTTAAGTTGATCGAAAATCCTTTCAAGCTTCCAGTCTTAGAAATCAACTTAGATACTGCACATTTAACAAAGTTAATGTACAATACTAAATAAGTAACTGCCTTTCATAAAAGCAGTTTGAGAAAACAGTTTATACTGGTTTCCTACCAGTGCATAGCTCATTCATCATCTAACTGTTCCCTGTATAAAGATAAGTTAGTTCAACAAATATCTCATATAAGTAATAACTTATCTAGGGAAACAGTGTTCTATTTTAGCTGGTTTCCCCAACTGTATTGAACACTTTCAAAGACCTGTTTCCCTTAGCTGTTTGTCATCATTCAAAACTATCAATCAAAACCTAAAGGACTCAACAAATTCCCCCTTTTTGATGATGACAAACATTTGAAGTTTCTGCACCTGTGAACATACTCAAAAGAAAGTAGTCAAAAACTTCAAGGACTCAAGACTCAATGGAACAAGTCAGTTAAGCCAACTGGTTCCCTAAACAGAAACAGAAAATAAAATAAAGTCAAAGTAAAAGTAAAAAGACTCAAAAACGACTCAATCTAAACTAGTAAAGACTATAGGCTTCAACTTCAACTATTTTCCCCCTTTTGGCATCATTAAAAAGATATGCAAAAGTAGCCTCTTATGCATAAAGTAACGTGCTAAACCATCCAATGGCATCAACCATTATACAAATAAAGTGCTGCAAAAGAAGGTCAGATTAGTCAAAGTAAAGCCATGCCAACATTAAAGATCATAGTTTAATACAAACCATCAAAAGTAAACGATAGAGCCCAAATCCATATCAAAACAAATTCATGGATTGGGAGGAATAAAAACAGTCCAACAGAATCAGTTATTCAGAATATAATATAATAAAGGTAGGCTAAATGAAAAAGAAAACAGATTCAATCATCATCATCATTTTCATCATCTTCTTCCTCTTCTTCAGTGTCAGCCTCCTCAACTGCTTCATCCTGGTTCTCTTCCTCTTCATTGTCATCTTCCTGCTGGTCTGTTTGCTGGTCCTCCTCAACTTGTTCCTTCTCAATTCCAGAACTACCAGCAACCTATTTCTCTAACTTGCTCATCCTCATAATAAACGAAGTAGATAAACCTTCCACTAAGGTCACTAGCTTGCTAAGCTGATCCCCTACAGCACTCATCTTCTCTTCCTGACTCTCCAGCCTCTTAAGAATAACCTTCTGACCTGCTGGTTCCTCTGCCTTCTATTTCTTCTTGGCAGGCTTAGGAGTCTCTAGTGGTTCCTCCTCCCTAAACTTCAACACCCCAGCACTTATGATCAACCCCTTTTGTTTCAGAATACCTTTTGTAAACACTATTACAGGAGCAGTTGATCCACTAAGAGAAACATTATTCTCTTTAAGAAGCTTAGTTATGTAAGAACCATAAGGAAGAGAATGGTGGGAGGAATTATAGCAATTCATCATATGGTTTATCATTAGGGAAGGGAGATTTATCTTAATCTTATTCATCAGCAAATATATAAGCACCATTTCCATGATGCGCACAAAACCCCTACCTTGTGCTCGAGGAATAATCATCTTGTTACACAGAGAATGAAGAACCAGCATCACTGGTTCCTTCAAGCTACCAGTTTTAAAAGTTCCAGCTTTCTTTGGAACTTTCCCTCCAAACACAAAGTCATGCACTTCATCTGGACTGACCCCAATAAGTGTGGGCCATCCATCTCCAGAATACTCATCAAAACCATCTCTGGGTATATTCAACAACCCAGCCAAACTTGCAACAGACACATTTACTTCAACATCATTCACAGCTGAACCTAACGACCTATCCAACATTTGTTTCAAATTTACATAAAACTTTCTAACACCATCAATATTAGCATCACAGACATCAAACAAAGCCATCCAACCTTAATATTCTAACAATTCTTTCACATCACTTAAGGCACTTTCATCAAAATAACCAACTTCTGTTTTACAACCAGATAGCACAACCCTATAACCTAAATCAGTCATACCAACAGATGGAGATTCTACTGACATACCTCTTGTAGACTTCCGTGCTGTTCTCTTTCGTTTGGTACCAGCAGAGTCCATCGACTGTTCCTCCACTACTACTTCGCCAATGTTTTTCAGGGAAGACCTAGTCACTCTGCTGTGAACCAAGGGTTTTGAAGTCCCCTTTTTCTGCCCAATAATCTGTAGATCCGCTTCTTCACTTCTAACTTCCTCCTCTTCCCTTTCTCCAACAGTATTGAAGAATTCTTCAGCGCTTTTGGGCTGGTCCCCCTGAGATGAGGCAGGTTCTTTGATGATGGAATCATCAGCCTCAGGGGTTTTGGGTAAAGGTGCATTTTTGGGAGGTGGAGGTGAGGGAGATTTAGAAGATGGAGACGGAGTTGGTGATGGGTTCTTTGTGGTAGTCAGAGGTGAATTGCTCGATAAAGTCGGAGCAGGGTTAGTTTCAGTGATGGTGTTCTCCTTCAATTGAGTGGACTCACTTGCTTGAGTCTTCTCCTTTCCTTTCTTAGCTGAAGCCTTGGCTGATTTCCTTACCATTGTAGCAAACAAGCTTCAAAATTTAGTAGGAATTTGAGAGAGATGAAAACGGAGTGAACAGTGATTAGGGTACCACTTTTGAACGAGAGAGAGGATGAATTCAATGATGATGTGATGTGAAACTGTATCAATGTGTTAGTGTGTATTTATATTAATTGCACAACATATGAATTCCAAAAACTAGCCGGTTGAGAATCAAAATAAACGGAAAAGATAATTTCAAAAATTGAAAATTTAAAATATGGTAATTATCTTTTTACCAAAAAAAAAATCAACCAACTATAAATTAGGCAATTAAATATATTTGCCTCTTTGTAGGATAGGAATAACTGAAATAAGATAATTCTTTGCAAAAAGAAATTATCTTATAGTAATCTTCCAAAAATAAAATATTTTCGGATGACATATCAGAGCTGAATTGTTGTTTCCTCTTGCTGGTACCTGTACTGAACCAGTCATTCTATTCTCAGCATGTTTCAAAATAACTTCTCCTGTTCTTATACAACAATAATCCACTTAGGTTATTTACACAATATTTGTAAGTAAGCAACATAGTTATATACACAATCAGTACAAAGGCATACCTATTCTAGCCAATCATTGAAGGAAATAATTGAAGCCAACTCCTAAAATCTAACTAGACCTAAAAGGACTCTTAACCTACAAAAGGACTCTCTACATAAAGGCTTTGTGAAGATATCAGCTATTTGATCTTCACTTTTACAAAACAACATCTCCACCAATCCTTTTTCCACATTGTCTCTTAGAAAATGGTGTCTTATCTCAATGTGTTTGGTCTTGGAGTGTTGCACGGGGTTCTTTGAAATATTGATTGCACTAGTGTTATCACAAAAAATAGGAACACTTTTATAAATAACACCAAAATCTTTCAGCTGGTTCCTTATCCACAGTAGCTGGGAACAGCATGAAGCTGCAGCTATATATTCTGACTCTGCTGTGGATAAGGCCACTGAATTTTGCTTTTTAGAACCCCATGATATAAGACAAGAGCCAAGGAAGTGTGTCATACCTGATGTGCTCTTTCTATCAACTAGGAAACCAGCATAATCTGCATCTGTATATCCAATGAGATCAATGGTACTGCCTTTGGGGTACCACAAAAACAGATCTGTTGTTCCCACAAGATACCTAAGTATCCTTCTAACAGCCTTCAAGTGAGATTCCTTTGGATTGCTTTGAAACCTAGCACACAAACCAACAGAAAACACAATGTCAGGTCTACTAGCTGTTAGGTAAAGTAGAGAACCAATCATTCCTCTATAAAGCGTAGCTTCAACATTTTTTCCCTTAAGATCAGCATCCAACTTTGTGGATGTGGGAATAGGTGTATCATAAGCTTTGCTGTTCTCCATGCCAAACTTTTTCAGCAGCTCTTTTAAGTACTTTTGTTGATGAATCATTATACCATCATTTGTTTGCTTAATCTGCAGCCCTAGGAAGAACCCTAGTTCTCCCATCATACTCATTTCGAATTCACTCTGCATAAGATTTGCAAATTCATCACACAAAGTTTGATTAGTAGCACCAAATAAAATATCATCAACATAAATTTGTACTACAATCAAGTGTTTCCCCCTGGTTTTTATGAACAAGGTCTTGTCTACTGTTCCCCTCTTGTAATCATTTGCCATCAAGAAATTGGACAGTCTTTCATACCAAGCCCTTGGAGCTTGTTTTAAGCCATATAATGCTTTATCCAACTTGTATACATGCTGGGGAAACAGTGCATCTTCAAAACCAGGTGGCTGCTCCACATATACTTCTTCCTTCAAATAGCCATTAAGGAAGGCAGTCTTCACATCCATCTGAAACAGCTTAAAATTCATGTGAGCAGCATAAGCAATTAAAATCCTAATAGCCTCTAGCCTAGCTACTGGTGCAAACGTCTCATCATAGTCAATTCCTTCTTGTTGATTGTACCCTTGCACCACTAGCCTTGCTTTGTTTCTGACTATAGTACCAAGGTCATCTAACTTGTTTCTAAAGACCCATCTAGTACCAATGACTGATCTTTCCTTTGGACGGGGAACCAGGTGCCAAACCTGGTTCCTCTGAAACTGATTTAGCTCATCTTGCATAGCTAGTACCCAATCAGGATCAGTCAATGCCATTTTATAGTCAGTAGGCTCTACATTAGACAGGAAAGAATAGAAGGCACAAAAGTTTTGAAAAACACTTCTTCTCGTTTGAATCCCCTTATTTATATCACTAATTATTTGATCAGTGGGATGAGAAGATTTATATCTAAAACTTTTGAAATTAAGACTGTTTTGTGCTTCCTCATTAAGTTGGGAACCAGCATGTTCATGAATCTCTTCTTCTTCTGAGGAGCTAGGAGGATTCACATTCATGCTGTTTCCTCTATCATTACTTACCTCAGGTTCAGGGGTGGTACCTTCTTCTGTTCCCCCTGAACTCATTACCTGTCTATTATTTGAGGAACCATCAGGACTTGGTTCCCCTTCAGAATCCTCATTATCTTCATTTTCTTCTCTAGGCACTTCATCATTATCATCTGGTGGAGTATTTGGTAGGCCTAGATCTGCTTGCACTTCATCTGTGGGACCAGTATACTGGTTCCCCGTGAAATCCATCAAACCAATCACTTCATCAGGTTGTACCTGCGCAATCTCAGAAGACAGGTTAAATTCATCAAAAATGACATGGACACTCTCCTCAACACAAAGAGTCCTTTTATTGAAGACTCTATATGCTTTGCTGTGAGAAGAGTATCCAAGAAAGATTCCCTCATCACTTCTAGGATCAAACTTATCAAGTTGATCCTTCCCATTATTATGCACATAACATTTACATCCAAAGACACGAAAGTATGTGATGTTGGGCTTTCGACCTTTAAGAAGTTCATAGAGAGTCTTATTTAACTTTGGTCTAATGAGACCTTTATTCAATATATAGCAAGAAGTGTCAACAGCTTCTCCCCAAAAACTCTTTGGGAGACCACTCTCAATGAGCATCGTCCTCGCCATCTCCTCAAGAGTTCTATTCTTCCTTTCTACAACACCATTTTGTTGAGGTGTTCTAGGGGCTGAGAAGTTGTGATTAACTCCATGTTCCCTACAATAATCAATAAAGTTAGCATTATCAAATTCAGTACCATGGTCGGATCTTACCGAGACCAGCTTGTGGGTGAGCTGGTTCTCCACTTGTTTCACCAATGTTACCCATTCTTCAAACGTTTCATACTTTGTGTGTAACATCATTACCCAAGTGTACCTGGAATAATCATCAACCATAACACAGACATATCTATGACCTCTTCGACTTTGTACTCTCATGGGACCACACAAGTCAATGTGTACAAGTTCGAAGGGTCTGCTGGTACTCAAAACAGTTTTAGGCTTAAAAGAGATTTTGACCTGTTTCCCCCTTACACATTCAGAACAAACTTTATCAGCTTCATACTTAATGTTAGGAAGACCTACCACTAAGTCATGTGCTTTAAGTTTGTTTAGAAGTGTTAGGCTAGCATGTCCAAACCTCTTATGCCAAATCCATTGATTATTGTCAGAAACAGCTCTCAAACAGATGGACTTGTCTTGAGGGATTTTATCTAAGAAGGTGATGTAGACATCATGCTTCCTGGTTCCCTCACATACAAGTTCTCCTGTTTGTGAGTTAACTATGTGACATAGGTTGGCTTGAAACTCAACTCTATTACCTTTGTCATATAATTGAGAAATACTCAAGAGATTATGTTGCAAGCCTTCAACATAATAAACATCATCTATTGCGTTAGAAAGTGTCTTACCAACCTTACCTAAACCAGTGATGGTTCCCTTGCTGTTATCCCCAAAGGTGACACTTCCTCCATCAAAGGCCACTAGTGAAAGGAATTGATCTTTATCCCCGGACATGTGTCTTGAGCAACCACTGTCCAAATACCAATAGGTGTCTCCCTTCACTCTAGCCTGCAAGAGTAAATCAAACGTTAGTTTTAGGAACCCAAACACACTTGGGTCCCTTTTCAACAACATTAACATCTTGTTGATCCTTTCTTCTCCACACATACATTACACTCTTGATGTTCTTATTAGCACTAATTTTCTTAGCTGGACATTCATGTATCTTATGTCCATTCTTACCACAATGAAAACACACGTGCATCTCTTTAGTCATGGCATACTTACCTCGCTGATATTCTTTGATCCAGGTGGTTTCTTTGGGAGACCAGTTAGTCCTGGTTCTCTGTCTAGTATAACCAAGACCAAATTTTCCTTTGTTTCCTCCTGATGAAGTCAGATGGTCCGAGGTTCTTTGTGCATTCAGTAGCTTATCCACATGTCTATGACTGTCATGCAATTCCCTTTCTTTTGTTTTAAGTGTCTTAACTAACAACTCGTTTTTCTCTTTCAAAAACTCAAAGTTACTTTTTAAAGTTGCAAGTTGTAAGTTAAGATCTAAAACCATAGGTTCATTAGACATGTCAATAACTACTGATTGCTTTTCACTTTTTAGTTGATTAAATTCAGCATGTAACTTACAGATAGTACTTTCATATTCATTAATCATACTGCTGACTTCAATGCTGGTTCCAGTAGGAGAACCAGGGGGCTGAACAGCTTTAAGTGAAGCAATTTCTTTGTGAGAATTTTCTAAGTTGAAAGCCAATGTTTCAAAGGCCTTCAACAGAAAAGTTCTATTGCAAGAATTTGCTTTACTTATGACTGTTGAAAAATCAAGGACTTCACTAGTAGTTGATAAGTCTCTGGGGAACCAGGAGATCAAATCTTCTTCACCATCACTCGGATAGTCAAGTTCAGAAGATCTTGCCCTTCCTAGTTCTACCTTGCACTTGTCCAATTCAACTTCTAGTTCAGCAACTTGATTTTTCAAGTTATGGCAAACCATCTCTAGGTGATCACAACTAGCAATAGCAATTTCACATTCATTACGTTTTTCTTTTAATTCTCTTTTGCCAGTTATATAAGTTTCACCTAATTTATAGCATTCATCCAATAAAGAATCTATACAAGCGAGCATATTTTCTCTATCATATTCATGCATATCTATTCTAATTTGTTCAAGGTTTACCTTATGTTTTTGTAGTACATCCTTCTTAGCCATCAAGCATTTCTTGAATGTACTGGTTCCCCCTCTGGTTCCTGGACCAGTGCTGTTCTCCTTGATGTTTGTGAAAGCAGTTAAGCAAACATCAGAACTAGGTGTATCTTCCTCTTCATCAGATCCTGAGTCAGATTCTCCCCACATAGATGCTATCATGGCATTCTTGAAAGCCCTCTTATCTCCAGATTGAGATTGCTTGTCCTTCCATTTTGGACAATCACGAATGATGTGTCCTTTCTCACCACACTTGAAGCAACCTGAAGGTGAGGAAGAGTTAGATTTTTTTTTATTTTTGAAATTCTTACCTTTGAAATTCATCTTTTGATCACGAAGAGATCTTTCAAATCTTTTTGCAATCATGTTGATCTCATCTTCTTTTTCTTCTACTGTTCCCTTCAGTGCCATGCCTCTGGCTGGTTCCTTGTCAGACTTAGAGTCAATCAGCATCTCATGAGTCATAAGGGAACCAATAAGCTGTTCCAAAGACAAGGTTGACAGATCCTTTGCTTCATATACTGTTGTTACCTTAGCTGTCCATGTATCTGTTAAACTACGCAAAATTTTTCTCACAAGATCCTCATCAGAAATTTTTTTACCAAGTGATCTAAGATCATTAACAATAGTCATAAACCTACGAAAGCAATCATTGATTTTTTCATTTTTATTCATGGCAAACAATTCGTATTTAGACATGATTAAATCAATTTTAGATCGTTTTACCTCACTGGTTCCCTCAAACGCAAGTTCAAGGGTGTCCCATATCTCCTTAGCACTACTGCAACCAGAGATACGATTAGTTTCGGTCTCACCTATTGCTTGTTGTAGAATTGACATTGCCTTAGCATTTTTCTCCAGCAACTTGTAATCAGCAGTGACCAATTCGCTATCCTTCTTGGGAACCTGTTTCCCATCAGCTTCTGTCTTGAGAATGATATTAGGACCATTTTTAACTACGAGCCAGCATTCATAATCAATACCCATGATAACATTCTGGATCCTGTTCTTCCACCAAGCATAATTATTTCCATTAAACTTTGGTGTCTTGTTGTCATAACCGATTGCACTTAATTCTTGAGTACTCATTCTTAACTCCTCTAGATGTTACTCTTTCGAGAAGCTTAGACTCTGATACCAATTGAAGGTTCAATGGGCACTCAAGAGGGGGGGTGAATTGAGTGTTAAGTAATCGTTAGCGATTTTTGCTTCTTTTCGGATTATGTGTAAGGAACCAGTTGTGATGGTTCCCTTATGCAGCGGAATAAAACAAAGCAATAAAGAACACCACAGATTTAACGAGGTTCAGCCAACTCTGGCCTACGTCCTCCTATCCTAAGTCCTTTATTAATCTACTCCGAAAAATAAAGACAAAGAACACTCTACTGTTTCCCTACTCCGGGAACCAGTAAACCCCACACTCTACTCCGAATGTGCTCTAAACTTACCCTCGTAAGTTCCTAGTGTGTTTGAACTCACAAACACTCACCAAGTCTTCAACCCCTCTGTCAAAGACTTAATACAAGATCAAGAACTCTCTAATGATCTAACTCTCAAAAGTCAAATAGAGAAAAACGTTAAAACACTATTATGCTCTTGTGTATCACTTAATAATTGAATTAGTGCTTTTAGCTCTCAAAAATAAAACTCTATTAAAATGCGTGAGAGCCGTGTCTGATTATTCAGAATAAGATGTGTTTTATAGGTTAGTTAGCTAAACCCTAGTTACCTTAAATCATGCATATAAGATATATACGATTTATGGTAAGTATTTATCTTAATTGATTTGATCACAAGATAAAATCAATTTAAGATAAAATACTTCCTAGTTTTTCGCTAACCAAAAATATCATCTTATTCTTAGCTGCTTGGATATATTTTAAATCAATATTTTTCGGAAAATATCTTTTTATAAAATCTTTGGAAAAACGGCAGCTTGAATAATCTGTTCAGTTAACCTGGTTCCCTGGCCTGGTTCCCTGAACTGAATATGTTATGAAATTTGTTCCAAACCTTGTACCAAATTTCATAACGATATTTAATATACTAAAAGTACTTTATATACTCAATTATATAAGTTATACTACGGAGCATTTACATGAAGTTCCTAAATAACTCTTTGAGTGTAGTCTTCCTTCATGCATTCGTTAAGTCTTGAAAGCTTCCATGAATGAACTCAATTATTGACCAAAGGACCTTCCTTTAAGTTGATCGAAAATCCTTTCAAGCTTCCAGTCTTAGAAATCAACTTAGATACTGCACATTTAACAAAGTTAATGTACAATACTAAATAAGTAACTGCCTTTCATAAAAGCAATTTGAGAAAATAGTTTATACTGGTTTCCTACCAGTGCATAGCTCATTCATCATCTAACTGTTCCCTGTATAAAGATAAGTTAGTTCAACAAATATCTCATATAAGTAATAACTTATCTAGGGAAACAGTGTTCTATTTTAGTTGGTTTCCCTAACTGTATTGAACACTTTCAAAGACCTGTTTCCCTTAGCTGTTTGTCATCATTCAAAACTATCAATCAAAACCTAAAGGACTCAACATATATTGTCTTTGGGTAAAAGTTTGTTATAAAACAAACAATTAGCTCCCATTTGAGCTTTCTTAGCTCACTTTGAGCTTTCTTAGCTCTGTTTGAGCCACTTAGCTCCCATTGAGCCTAAGACCCTAGACAAATATTGAAAAGATAGTAGAAAATATTCTATCCATAACTAGATATGGTATCTTTTATTAGATTTGACAATTTTGTTTAGTGTAACATTAGTCGTTGGTGCATATCTTTATAGAACTTTATAAAAAGTTATGTGATCCATCGTTGTCCGAATCATTTTTAATGACTTCGATGTCTCCGTCTAGATATACTATATTCTTTGTGGATAGGAGTTTGTTATGAAATTACAATTCACAACCTTAATATGATCACTCTTAGCTTAAGTAAACATCACCTTGATCTAATCTAGATGTTTTGATATCTTGCCAAGTTGATTCTATACCTCACTGAACTTTTGAGCTACTCAAGATCTAGTTTTATTTCAAATTTCATAAATATAGCCATATTCTAGTCAAATTCTTGTGAAAACGTTGAAGTAATAAAATCCTCTTTTAGCATTCGAACACAATTGTTTATACCAAGCACAATAGTTGTATTTTATGAGAAGTTGTATTTTAAAAATTTCTTTTCCTATCTCTCTTGAGAATCCTTCTCATTATATCTTCTTACAAATCGTAAATAATACATGCAAATTTACACATAATACATGCAATAATCAAAAGCCATGTAATAAATGGCTCCCACTAAATCCTACATCCATAATAATTAAATAAATGTGATTATATTTAATTAAAGAAAAATTAGTCATTTTTAACATAAAATAAAGTTTGAAAAACCGAGCAATTTTTGAGGCCTAGCCCTTTGCTCGTTCAAACCGTAAGCACCAAGCACACACGAGCCTTGCTCGTTGTGCTATTATGCTCGCTGCTGGCACAAGGTGCTGCACTAAGCAGCCCCTCGCTCACGAGTGTTGGGCGCTGCTCGTGCAACCCCATGCTTTCGAGCCTACCCTCGCGCGCATACACAACCCCCCCGCCCCTGCTACTCCTCGATCGCACACACTCACACACCACACACAACAACATAACATAAGGGAGGGTTGTTGTGCGTGTGCTCGGCTTGGCGCCGAGCCTTGCCTTGCGCACATGCTTAAGAATTTTAATCTCGGTGTTTTATTTTTTTTTATTTTTTTTTTTTGTGTTTTAAATTCCAAAATCCAATTTATGAATTTAATTTGAGCAATCTTGAATTAATTAAAGTCCAACTTATAATTTATTCAATTTAGGTGCAACATAAAATTAATTACAAGATCTAATCCTTAATTAGTTTTAGGGCTATTCGAGTTTTATGATTATTCTTATTCATAAACTAATTGAAAATAAGGGCATGCATCACAATTAAATTTAACTCATGCAATGATTAATTATAATATAATTCTTTAACAAACTAATCAAATAATTAATGTTACCATCCAATTACAAATTAAGTATTCAATTATGACTAAGTAAATTCAAAATTTTTAATCATGTAATGCATTATTATTTTTGAATTCAACATGTATATCGTGAATTTTTAATCAATTTCCCAAATTATCAAAATTCAATCTTTATTCAAGTTTAGACTTCTAGTGATTCAAATTAAAACAACTAATCTAATTAAAGTTTTAATTATGGTATAATAGATGGAAAATATTAACATGGAATCATATTATATTAAACCTATTACTTAAAAATTCAATAGATAATCCAATTATTCAATTGCAATTTGAAGTAAAATTAAGGTTTATATAGATTTAGGGCTTTCTAATCTAGTCAACTAAATTAAACCAAATTTACATGAAAAGATTAGGAATAAGTGCAGTAGATTAACACATAAATCATTCACATTAGTTACTTAACAAGAAATGATTGATTAAGATCCAAAAATTTTTAAAAAAATTTCGTTAGAAACGAAAAACCCTTCGAAAAACCTAATTCTGGGCGGAATTTGGCCCAAGCAACTAGTAGAAAAAATGCTATTTGTAACGCCCTATTAGTAACTGGTATAAATTATGTTAGTTACCACAAGAGTATTACTAACTGACATAGCTATTGCTGGTTACAAATAAATTATCATTAGTAACTGGCATAACTAAGGTAAGTTACAAAAAGCAGGTTAAAAATAGGTTGACCAGCTATTAGTAATAGGTATGAAAAAGGCCAGTTACAAATAGCAGATCAAACTTTGTTGACTTTATTAATTATAATGAGCTTAATCAATGTCAGTTACTAATGGGAGTAGTCGGAGCACACACAACTACACAAGTACACAACTCTCACTTATACTCTATTTTTTTCCTTTTTTTTAAAAAAGAAAGTACTCGTATTATTCATATTCTTCCAGTCTTCCGCCTATCTCATCAAACTAAGCCCATTTTTTTCAAAAACCACCCTCAATTATTCATTCTCCGTTGAAATCCTCTAAAGATCCTTCAAAATTCAATCATCGAAAAATTAACGGTTTGTTTCTATTATCAGTGAGTACCTCACATTCATTCTTGTTTAATATGGCTTTATTAATGGTGGTACAAATTCCTCTATTTTGTTCTGATATAGTGATTTAGCACTCAATAGAAATGCTGATGAATGAATTTGTTGAGAATGGGGATGGACCCTATGCCAGTAAAAAATAAGGAGGGGATGGATGAGTTAGATCAGTAGATGGTGGTGGTAAACTAAGGGGTTTCATGTCACATAATTTGACAATTGCTCAAGATTTAATTCATTTATTATTACTAGCTAAAGAAACAGTTTTGCCAATTATAATTAGTTCTAGAGATGGTATGACATAAGATGGGTGATAGAGTTTAAAAATTTACTTATATTGATGTGCCTAATCGATATGATATGAAATAGAATACTATACTCTCAGTTCATAACATAATAATATTGATATAATATCTTTCTCTTGCCTTGTTTGTTGTCTCTCCTCTCCCTTGTCCCTCCATTTCTTCCTTTCCTTTTCAATTTGTGTAACTCAACTGCATTTTCCCGTCTCATCCTAATATATATTTATAGTCCTCTAGCTTTATCAATGAAGTATACATCACTAGAATGTTTCCCATCTGCTATACGGTAAGCTTGTCATTTGCATGGATTGAAACCAAACCTACGAGGCTACGATATATCAGTAATATTTGAAGCTACACTCTTAATGACTTACAAGACCCCACTAGTCAATGTTTTTTAAATCCATTTTTTTTGTAAAATACTTGATGTATGAGTTTTATACCATATTTTATCCCGGTTTTAAAATGTATTTTTGCATGGTTTTAGGCTCTATGGAGCCATTTCTCGCTAACAATCTCTTCTCTAGTGTGTTCGATCTATTTTTATTGAGTTTCTTAGGAATACGGAGTTTCTTGGATGAATCAGACGTGTTTTGGATGGTTATAGAAGAGGTTAGTGTGTGAAGATTAAGATTCCCCCATGCCCTGTTGACCATGGCTTGCCCGGTCAGACAGGGCAAAGAAGGATAAGCTAGATACGAAGTATAAGCTGCAGCCCCTACGTGCCCAATTGGGCATGGCTTGCCCGGTGGGACCGGGCACAAGAAGGAAGAAGAACAATGAGGCAAGGCGACACAGCACTCTCCACCGCCCGACCGGGCACCCTTGCCCGGTTGGACCGGGCACTGTTTCGCGGAAGCCGACTTGTTTAATTTCGTAATTTTATCTTTTTAGGGGTATAAATACCCTTTGCAATCACAATTAGAATACAGATTATTATATCCTCTAGTATTAGTTTTCTCTAAGAACCCTAGTTTTACTCTCTTTAAGAAATTAATTCTTCTCTTAGTTTTTATTATTGTTCATCAACAATTCGAGTTCTTTCGATTGAAGCAATTGGTATTCATCTATTTTACATCTCTTTTATTTATTATTGCTTATTGATTATGTCTTCTCTATTGAATCTTGTTATTGGGTTTGCTAGTATGTGTGAGTAGATTCATAATCCGGGATCTTGCAAAGCCCGGATATGATTAATGCTTAGATTGAATCTTTAAATTCTCCAATAATAATTCCAATTGACATGCTTGATTGATTGTGTTTATGCCAATGCTAGATTAGGAATAATTAGTATTGTTATCATCCCTTTGTACTTATTGCAACGGAAGTTGAATATTAACGGGATTGGGTATTTCAATTAAGGGTTTGAAGGTCACCACGGAAGTAGATGATTGAATGATTAGGAAGTTAAGTATTGTGTTTAATGTCCCTTATTTGCTTGATTCCATGGAAATAGGCTTGATAGTTGATTTGGGAAGCCATTGACAATTCGGAAGAGATCTTTGGTATTGTTTAGGGAATGCTTTTCCTCTTGTCGATTGAATTGTTATTGGGGGTAAAATTATTTATGCATTGATTATATTCGTGGTAATGCTTGATCTTGGATGCTTTAGTTCATTGATTTATCACTTTCTCTAGATTAATTGAGTCCTTTATTTATTAGTTCTTAGTATTCATCACCATTGATTTATTATTTGCTGAGTGATTACTTGAGTCTATTTAACTAGGTGAACCTTAGTCTCTTGGGATTCGATCCTTACTTGCCCGTCTACATAGTAGTGGTCTCGTTAGGTTTATTTTTTTTAGGTACGCGACACGCCTATCAAATTTTGGCGCCGTTGCTGGGGACTAACGGTTTTCATCTAGTTATTTGTGATTCGTTTTTACTAAGCTTTTGATTTGTTGCTTCAGCTATTGTCCCTTGTATTTTTTATCTCCTCTTTTTAGTTCTTTGTTGCATGCAAACTCGACGTTCAAGTTTAGACAACTTAACACCTTTTGACTCTAAAATCAAAGCTATTGCAAGGAGACGAAGAGGTAGAAGAAGGAGATATCAAAACACAAGTAAAATGACCGAAAGAATCAAATCTTTATTGGAGTACGACATTCCAAATACCGCAACCGGGCTCCTATCCAGCATTGTCTGACCACCTATTACTGCTCAGAGCTTTGAATTAAAACCTCAATTCATACAGTTCATCTCCAATGACTCATTTGCAGGAACACCTCATGAATGCCCTTTTAGTCACATAGACAGTTTCTTGGAGAAGTGTGACACCATAAAGCTCAACGATGTTACTGATGATGCTATCAGACTTCGTTTGTTCCCTTTTTCACTACGGGATAGAGCGAAGGAATGGTTACGAGACGAAGGTACAGGTTCCTTTGATACATGGGATAAGCTTGCCAAAGCTTTCTTAGTAAGATTTTTAGGGCAAGAGAAGACAGCAAGGTTAAGGAACGAGCTAGCTACCTTTCGTCAATATGATGACGAGTCTTTATATGAGGCATGGAGAAGATTCAAGCCCTTACAGAGACAATGCCCTCATCATGGTATCCCAGAGTGGATGTTGATCCAAACATTCTACAATGGTCTGACCCACGAGTTCCGCATATACATTGATGCTGCATCCAGGGGTTCTCTCATGACTAAGAACCCAACTGAAGCCAAGGAGCTAATTGAGAAGATGGCAGCCAATGATAATTATCATCTAGGGGGCAGAAATACTGTGAAGAATAAAGGAAAATTTGATGTTGATGCTTTAACTCTCTTCACAAGTTCTGTACAAGCATTAGCAAGCAAGTTTGATAAACTCCAAGCTGGATCCTCTTCCGCTTCATTCGAAACATGTCAATTATGTGGTATTCAAGGCCACATTGCACCACAATGTCAACCTCCCTCTGACGAAATGTCAATCGAGCAAGCAAATGCCTTCTATACTACGGCTCCTAAAAGGTTGTATGATCCTCATTCAAACACATACAATGAAGGGTGGAGAAATCATCCGGACTTCTCTTATAAGAACACTTAAGCTCAGTTGTATTCTCCGTCACCACAACCTAGTTTTCAAGCAAGGGCATCTTTTAATCACCAACCCATGAATCAACAACTACCACCGGAAACTTCAAAATACGATCTTGATTCCATTATGGAGACTTTCACTACTTCCTAACTTCGACAACAAGAGCTTATGACAAAGAAATTTGAGCTACAAGCAAAGCAAAATGAACACTTTGAAAGCTTGATGCAAATGCTTATTGCTCAAAATAAGAGGATAGAAACCCACCTTTCTCAACTTTCACAACAAGTGAGTCATTTATCAACCCTTCATGATCAAGCAAAAGTCCAAAAGGAACAATGCAATGCAGTTTTCTTGAGAAGAGATGAATTATTTTCGAGGAAAATAGATGAGAAAGTGTGCAGTGTGGAGTCAAGAAAAGATGAAAAGGGTGAGGATGTAAAAAGTCCCAAATATGTTGCTCCATCGGCCTATGAGGAACCGATGCCCTTCCCGCAAAGGTTTTCAAAAGCCGTGCTTGATAAACATTTTGGGAAATACTGCGGAACTCTTAAGAAGGTATATTCTTCTATTCCTTTTTCCGATCTTTTAATTCAAATGCCTCAATTTGCAAAATTTGTGAAGAATATTAAAGATCAACATGATGATAAGGAAGTAGTAAATGAGAAATGCTCTACTCTTTTAAGTGATAGCCTACCACCTAAGCTGCATGATCCTGGTAGTTTTACTATTCCCTGTATGATAAACGAAATATTTTTTGACAGGGTCTTGTGTGATTTAGGTGCTAGTGTTAATTTAATGCCTTATTCATTATATGAAAAATTAGGTATGCAAAAACTTAAACCTTCCCCTATTTCTTTTCAAATGGCTGATAGGACTGCTAGACTCCCTAAGGGTGTGGTTGAAGATGTATTAGTTAAGGTTGGTGAACTTGTTTTTCCTGTTGATTTTGTTGTTATGGATATGAAAGAAGACCATAAGATCTCGATTATATTTGGTCGTCCATTCCTTGCCACAAGTCAAGCTCTAATAGATGTTCCTAAAAGACAAGTGACCATCAGGGCCCAGGATAAACAAGTAATGTTTAAGCACTTTTATGAACATAATTTTATATTTGATGGTGGTACTTGTTTAAGAATTGATACTACTAACCCTTTGGTTGATAAGTGTGTATTTGATAGAAATCTTGTGAGAAACGAGGACAATATTCCACCAAATGATGTGTTTAGCTACATGAAGGTAAGTTCGGATACAAAGCATGTCAAAAATAAAATGAAGGAGTCATTTGAAGGCAGATATTTTCATGGGCAATATCGCGGAGTTTCCTCTTTGTGTGGTGACCCAGGTTGAGCTAATAAAGAAGGTAAAGCTTAAGACCTTGATAAACTAGCGCTTTGCGGGAGGCAACCCGTATGTTATTGTTTTTATTTTAGTCTTTCTAATTTTTGTGTGTTTTCGTTTTTCTTTGGTTCTTAGAGAGGTAAGGAGAGTGTAACTTATGCTTGTGGGAGTTTGTTTTTTGTGCAGATTTTGAGCTAAAGAAGAATTGAATTCGCTGAAACATTCAATCTCCTTCGCGCCTGATCGGGCATCCCATGCCCGGTCTGACCAGGCGGAGAGGGTTGAGATTTAGCTCTAATTCATCTTTCTTTCATGCTTCTCGCGCCCGATCGGGCATCTCGTGCCCGGTCTGACCAGGCGGTGGGAGGTAACTTTTCAGCAAAACTGCTCAAGTTCGACAGGCCATAACTTTCTTGTTACATACTAGATTTTTGCGTGTGACCTATCGTTGAAAAGCTCTTCAAGTATACTTTTCAATGCAATTTGAATCACTTCATTATGATCTATAGATAAAAATTGATGATCAGAATAGTGCACATGACTCAATTTTTATCTTTTTTCCACTAACACATTGTTTCATTCTTGCCCAAATTTGTTCCAAAGAGATGCATTGCAATCCTCGAGGCTTTGGTGACATTTATGTGGTGATTATGATGGTCAGTAATCACCTTGACTACTAGCTTCCATTTAAGACAATGAGGACATTGTCTAATTTAGCTTGGGGGGAGGTTCTCGTGTACGCATGGTATATCTTTCACCCTCTCTCTTTTATTTATTTATTTATTTTATTTTTCTTTTAGTGTGTTTAGACTAGTAGTAAGATTTAATGCTTTCAAAAAAAAAATGAAAAAATACGAGAATCATGATAATGAACGGTCAATGAACTACTTCCCTATGCCCCTATCCTTAATGCCAAAAAGGTTTTTGATTTGATCTTGATTGAAAGACTTGCATTGCGAATTAAATGATCATTATTTGACCTCGAATTGTTCGATCCCTAGTAGGAGTCAACATTGTTAACCATGTATGAGTTTGGAGCTTGACTGTGTTAACCGTGAGGCGAGGCTTGAGCCTTAATTATTCATTCATGTGTGTTTAGTTCCTGGTGTGATGTTGATCTTAGTTTTGACTTTAGACTTTTAGTAATGTGCCATAATACATTGCACGTGCACGATGAGAATGACGAAGGCCATGTTCACTAGGTGACCTCCAGATGAGTTTAGAAACGTTTGTTCCCTTCTTGCTCACCCAATGTTGTAGCTTTGTCCACATTTTTCGTGAACCTCACAAATTTAAACCCTTGGCCCCGAATTGGTTACTTTTCCCAAGTCTAGCTTGGGGGAGCTTTATTGCATGATGTTTTGTGTAATTTTGTGATGAGTTTGGCATTGAATGTGGAGCTTCAAGAAGGAAAAGAAAGAAAAAAGAGAAAAGAAGGAATCACAAACATGGAGGTTTATTACTTGAAAAAAAAAGAAAGAAAAAAAAGAACAAAGAAAAAATTGGTACAAAAGGAAGAAACTTTGTTCTTGAAAAAGAAAAAAAAAATCGGTTGATATAAGAAAAAAAAAAGAAGAAGAAAAGAGTTGGAAATGGAAAAATATAAAGGTAGTAGTGGATGTTTCTTGAATAATTGGGGTATGTGCTCTTGTTAATAAGAATGATGGATCGAGGATGTTTATTGATTGCATTTGATAGCTCCCCGGTTAGACTATAATTTCCTACATTTCCCAAATTTACTTCCTACCCACTTTTACCCGGCCTACATTACAAGCTTGAAAAAAGTCCTTCCGATCTTCGTGCATGGTATTGTGTTCATGTGAAATGAATCTTTTGTCAAAATGCTGGAGTATATGTCACATTTCGAGTCGACAATTGACTAGGTTGAGCGATAATATAACCCTTTAAACACGCGAGCGTTGTGAGATGGGGGGTTTGCATTATTGGTGGGGATGGTGAGAGATCAAGCTCATTATTAGCTTTCCACGTAAATAGTGTGTTGAGTGACCACCAAGGTGAAATACTCTAGTCATCGATTCTTGAGTTGTACATGGTTGATTTCACTTGACGAGTATTTAGGTTGATTTATGGTTTGAGTAATTTGATTGGTTGGCTAAGATGCGTGCTTGTTTGATTTGGATTTTGAGTCCTTTGTTTTCAATTGCATTATGGGGTGAAGTATTTTCACTTAGTTGTTTGTTGTTCTTGATTGCCTTGCTTGAGGACAAGCAAGAGGTTAGCTTGGGGGAATTTGATGTATGAGTTTTATACCATATTTTATCCCGATTTTACAATGTATATTTGCATGGTTTTAGGCTCTATGGAGCCATTTCTCGCTAACAATCTCTTCTCTAGTGTGTTCGATCTATTTTTATTGAGTTTCATAGGAATACGGAGTTTCTTGGATGAATCGGACGTGTTTTGGATGGTTATAGAAGAGGTTAGTGTGTGAAGATGAAGATTTCCCCCATGCCCTGTTGACCATGGCTTGCCCGGTCAGACAGGGCAAAGAAGAATAAGCTAGATACGAAGTATACGAAGTAGGGCAAGGCGACGCAGCACTCTCCACCGTCCCGATCGGGCACCCTTGCCCGGTTGGACCGGGCACTGTTTCGCGGAAGCCGACTTGTTTAATTTCGTAATTTTATCTTTTTAGGGGTATAAATACCCTTTGCAATCACAATTAGAATACAAATTATTATATCCTCTAGTATTAGTTTTCTCTAAGAACCCTAGTTTTACTCTCTTTAAGCAATTAATTCTTCTCTTAGTTTTGATTATTGTTCATCAACAATTCGAGTTCTTTCGATTGAAGCAATTGGTATTCATCTATTTTACATCTCTTTTATTTATTATTGCTTATTAATTATGTCTTCTCTATTGAATCTTGTTATTGGATTTGCTAGTATGTGTGAGTAGATTCATAGTCCGGGATCTTGCAAAGCCCGGATATGATTAATGCTTAGATTGAATATTTAAATTCTCTAATAATAATTCCAATTGACATGCTTGATTGATTGTGTTTATGCCAATGCAAGATTAGGAATAATTAGTATTGTTATCATCCCTTTGTTCTTATTGCAACGGAAGTTGAATATTAACGGGATTGGGTATTTCAATTAAGGTTTGAAGGTCATCACGGAATTAGATGATTGAATGATTAGGAAGTTAAGTATTGTGTTTAATGTCCCTTATTTGCTTGATTCCATGGAAATAGGCTTGATAGTTGATTTAGGAAGCCATTGACAACTCGGAAGAGACCTTTGGTATTGTTTAGGGAATGTTTTTCCTCTTGTCGATTGAATTGTTATTGGGAGTAGAATTATATATGCATTGATTATATTCGTGGTAATGCTTGATTTTGGATGCTTTAATGCATTGATTTATCACTTTCTCTAGGTTAATTGAGTCCTTTATTTATTAGTTCTTAGTATTCATCACCATTTATTTATTACTTTCTTAGTGATTACTTGAGTCTATTTAATTAGGTGAACCTTAGTCTCTTGGGATTCGATCCTTACTTGCTCGTCTACATAGTAGTGGTCTCGTTAGGTTTATTTTTTTTAGGTACGCGACACGCCTATCAATACTCTTAAGTTACATTTTTCTTAAGTTCATATTAAAATACTTAATATATATTAAGAATGCTAAATTAGGAACTGGAATGAAGG